TTTTAACTTTACATGTGTTTGTAGTTGATTAGTAGATTAGAAACTTTGTCAACAAGCTAATCACATTGCACATGTATAGATAGCTTGTGAAATAAGCTAATTATGCAGTATCTATATAGAAAACTTGCATTAGAAGTCAAAATATGTGTCATATAAAGTCAACACATTTTTGGAGGTCCCATAGAACGTCGCCATATAGATCTTAAGTAGATAGTATATATAAAGGCAAGAATGAAGCCTTCTTCACTCTTGTCAATTTCTTTCTTGGTTTTAGTTTAGATTCAAGAGTCTCTTATTTTCTTCTCTTCTGGCAATAGCCATTCCAATTTCTTTTTAATTTACATACTTCTTTATTTTTATTTTTTCACTTTTTCTTTTATACAAATTTTATAAGTTTATGCATCTTCTTTTTGTTCATGTCATTAATAGAGGTTTGTAAATTCTAAATCAAGATAAATAATTAAATTATTAATTAAAAAGATTTTGAATCTACTATAGGATTTTATTACAATTTTTTAGAGTTTTTTCAAGATTTTTTAGAATTTTTTTAAAAATTATTAAAATTTATAGGATTTTGTTTAAGATTTTATTGAAATTTAATTAGGAACTTTTTAGAATTTATTTAAGATGCGAATTTTATTAGAACTTAATAAAAGTTTAATCAAAATTATTTTTAATATTTCTGAAATATATATTTTTTAGCATTTTGAAAATATTTCTTTAAGAATTGTTTATGATTATATTAATTTTTAAAAAATATTTCTTTAAATATTAATTAAAAATTTTCAGGTTCTATTATTATTCATTTAAAAATCTTTTAGGATTGTTAGCTTCGTTTTTGTTGCAAAATTCTAATTTATTTGCCATAATTAAGTCCCTAATGCATTTTCAAGTAAGATAATAAGTAATACAATAATGTAATAATATTTTTTAGAACTTCTAAGAGATGTCTAACTTGAAAGATACATGTCTAATTTATATGTCAAGTTTTTCACATGTGTGCCACATATCCAATTTATACCACAAATGACCAATATGTACAATACATGGCCAAGTTTTCAACCTGCCAATTACCTACAAACACATATAGAGACAAATTTGCATCTATAAGGTTTTTTAAAAAAAATTCCACGAGATATTATTAAATTTATCTACTTTTGATTATTTCTATATATTCATATTATTTAGATAATTACTAAAATAATTATAAATATTTATGATGCTTATACTATAATTAACAATTTTTTTGTACAAGTAAAAAAAACCTTTAAATACTAATAATATATTAGATTTGAATTTTAATGGATATTTTTAGTTAAAAAATATGTTATATATTTACTTCAATTATTTAATTTTCTATAGTTCAAAGAGATTATTTTTAAGCAATGAAATTTTTATAAAAAATTAGCTAAAATTCTTTTGCAAAAAAAAAAAAAAAAAAAAAAAAAAAAAAATCAACTTAAAAGTATGAGTAATATAGCAAAAAATTAATTAATATTTAAATAAAAATTTGAAATAAATAATATATTAAATTATTTTGAAATTAAATTATAAGCAACTTAAAATTATTATAAAATTCTAAATTTTTTACTATAAAAAAATGTTTGAATTTTTTTATTTTATCATTCAAAAATTAATAAAATTTAAAAATTATCTACTCCTATAAGATTATAATATAATAGGTAAAACACCTTTACTATTAGTAAACTAAAAATATCATAGAATAGAATTTAATTGCTACCAAGTTTAATCTTTTGATCTTTAAAAACCTTTGTTAGATTTAATTCGATTACAAATTCTTATATAATAGATACAACCCCTACTAGAAAGACCTCAAAATTCTAGGTTTTAAAATTGAATAATATTTCTTCTACATAATAAAAAGATATGATAAGTGTATATATTTCAAGTTTGCTTATAGAAAGATGCAAGCTTTGACAATGCCTTGTTATCAATAGATTATAATTTGAACCAAAATAGTCAACAAAAATACTTATGTTTTGATGAAAAAGTTGATTTTAAATAAGTTTAACAAACCACAAAGTTCTAGAAATTTAATATAATTGAATGTAATATAATTATTTTAATAGAAGGTCATAATTTAGTAGAACTTCCAATTAAATAGATACAACTATCATAATATTATTGTCTTAATAATTGGGCTATAATTTAATCTTACAAGTTTTTTTGAAGTGACTATTATTATTTAGATAAAAATATTACTAAATAATGATAAAAATTCTAAATAGATGCATTCTACCAACATCTATTTAAATCATAAAATAAAATAAAATACTTCTTTAAAAATATAACATAAAATGGTCTTTTATTTGGAAAAGAAGAAAAATATATATATATATATATAATTAGCTTATTTAAGAAATAAGAATATTATTATAAATGCATAGAGATATAAGCTTGACAACACAACTTACAATGTTTGTGCTTAAACAACTATACAAATGGTTTTATGTGGATCTTAAAAATATCTAGTTATACAACATATATAAGACTTGGATATAAATATCCTCTATGTTTTCAATAGATATGGTCTATGTAGATGCTTTTGGCTTGCTCTTAATATTTAAAAAATTATATTTGATTGTAAAATTATATTTATATTATCTTAATTATATATGCTTATTTTTAAGACTTTTTAGCTTTTTTTTTTTTGTTATAGATTATTTTTGAAATTGAAATTGATATATGGTTTTTCTTTAATTTATTATTTTTATAGTTAGCAAGAATAGCATGTTGATGTAAAAATTGTTTTTGGATCCAACTCATGTAATGTATTCTAATTCTTTCCAATTAAATTTTAAGATTATGGAGTAAAAGTAAGAATAAATAAAAGAGTGAAAGAGATGATTGTCAATAAAGACAACAATGTTTAAGTTATTTCAATTCCAAAGAAGAGAATTATATTAAAGATAACTAGATCTTGAAAGAAAAAAAATTTGAAGACTTTGGTGAAGATTAAAGATGAAGAAAATAACAACATCCATTGATGGATTGATTTTGAAGTAATCTAGTTTATTACACTTTATAGAAAGGTGGAACTTAAATTTATCTACAATAATATATATATATATATATATATATATATATATATATATATATATATAGCAAATAAAGCAATTTAAAATCTAATATATTGAAATTTTTTTCAAAAAAGTTTTTAAATCAAAGGTTTGATCTAATTGAGATTTGGAAGCCTTTATCTTTGCTGCATACTATCTAGGCTCCATATGTCTTTTTCTTTTTTCCTCCCAAAAATAAATAAAAAAATACATTGATGTAGAGATTTGAACCTTGGTTTAATTTGAATATTAGTTAGATTTAAGTCAAAGTGATTATTTTTTCAATAGTTATATCTTTTTTTATTTTTTTTAGTAATAAACCTTAATATTTATTTATATTTTTATCAAATACAATTATTTACAATCTTTTAGTATTGTATTCTCATTCTTTTTCCACATAACTTTTGAAGGTCTTATCAATGTCAAATAAATATTATATACATAGGATTTAATATATAAATGGATCTCAATGTCTAAATAATTTTTATTCATCCCAAATTCAATGAGAAATATAAGGCATGTCAAAAGAAATTTCAAAAGAAATTCAAAAATACAAAAAAATAAATTTTTTAAGACCATTTTTAGTATTAACCATTATTAAAGTAAGTTCTACAAAGCTATGGACATATAACTGTATCAGACCAACTAAAGATGAATCATGTTTTAGCTTCAACAAATAAAAGAAGAAAAACTTCCACCAATTCTTCACTTGTGATGAATAATTTATCACAATCAACAACTATGCCTATGACACCATCAACTTCCTTGAAATCAAAAAATAAAAAAAACTTTCATAAAAAGTATTAATATTTTTTAAAAAATAGAAAAATAGTAAATACTTAATAATAGAATCTTAAAGAATAAATATACTATTAGATAGGATAGACTTATTATTTGATTATCTATTCAATAAAATATAGTATTATAATATTAATTTTAATATAAATTTGCATTGTGTCTTTTAAATTGAATGGTTGATTAGTTTGCTTAATTTGCTTTATAAATGTTTTTAGCCAAGACCTCATGGATTTGTATTGCATCTATCAAAATTTCTTTTTTTATTTTTATTTTTTAGTCTTTTCTTATTGATCATTTTTATTTTTAAAAGATTAAATTTTTTTTGTTTCAACTTTTTCATAACTTTCACATCAAAAAAATATTATTTCTTCTTAAGGATTTTTTTTAATTATTTTATTTTCTTCAATAATAATACAAGTGCACAAAGAAACATATCAATTCTGTTATGAAAATTTTATTCCTTAGTGGGTCACGAGGTAGTTAACTCCAATCTGGTCCCAGTATGGCAGCAAAGAGTAGCAGTTCCTTACTGTTTGATACTGAGCAGGCTCTTTGAGCACTTTGTAGAGCCTGTGGTCACTGTTGGGTTAAGAAACAAGCTAGAGGCTATTGTGGGATTTCTAAAGAGGCTGAAGTCCTAAAACATAATATTAAGGATCCCAAACAATTACATAAATTTGTGAAACCCATTCATTCCAGATGAAGGTTTCAAAAAGTAAACAGAATCAAAACGAAAATTACTATCAGAGTTTTGCATGTTCAATTTGCAGATTCTATTCTTCATGAATTCCTCCCTGTCCGTCAGTGAGAAAGCTGCCGAATACTGGTTGAAACGTGGCAAGAGTAGTCGACAATTTCCTTTCAATGCAAAGCACCATTTCAATTACTCTTGAAAATGCTCCAACTATTCTCAGTGCTATTCGAGGTTCACAGTCTGACACCGTGGCGTGCTCGCCCTGACTGAACTGCATTATTGCTGCATGGGCCCTCCCATTCTCGTACATGTCTCAACTGTGCACTGCGTTTAAAGACTTTCGTTGATTCTCACCCCTCTTGTGTGCGCTTCACACCGTCGTCCCCAAACGTGTAAGCGGCGACCTAGTTCTTCTAATACAAGTTTGCTTTTGCCACCAACATCTTACGTCTCTTCTTTATTCATTTCCTAGGCTGGATTTTGAGTGCATATTGTCGGATTAGTAGCGGCTCTCGAAGGGTGCATGTTGTGTGTCTGGAGTCTGTGAGTTTGCTTTCAAGCGAGATCTGTTACATGTCCATAGAAATAAACGTGAATCCGCAAGTCGCAGGAGAAAAAAGGTGATCCGCTTTACTGTTCAATGTGAAAAGCGTGATTCTGTCTGCTGTGTCGCTTGACCAGGTGTGCTTAGCAGATCCATATCATCTGTCGCTTACTTGAAGTGTTTTTGTGTGCGACAGGAAAGCATTGTTAATTGAATCCGACGACAACAAAGTTTGCAATTTCGGCGTTTGCTTGATGAAGCAAGGGCGTCTGGAAGAAGCTGAAGCCGTTCTTCAGAGAGTGACCGTAGCGTGTAGTGGCATTCGGTGGGCATCAGATTCTCATCTTAAATCCTATGAGCGCGCTCAGGATTTGTTAAAAGAGTTAGAGTCCTCCATAGGGTTGAAGGGATCTCATGATGATATTCTACAACAGTTGAGCTCATTTACCATTTCAGGTTGTAACACAGATGTGAGTGCTCATGACTCAACCTTGTGGCAACCTCAGCCAGCCATGCCACGTCAACCTCGTCGTGCCTCACGGTCTGCTCTGGAACAAGTTTCTCAGTCTAATATTGACCCGTCTATGTCTGGTGCCTTTATAGCTACTTCAAGATTTGGCCCTGCGCATCATACCAGACTGGAGATGGCCGGGAGCTATAGAACACAGTCTTGGCTGCAAGATGGTAGCTGCTCTGGAAGTTCCAGTGGTTGGGATGAAGATGATTTCGATGACGCATCTCCTGATGAATGCTCTATCAGATTTTTAAGGGTATCTGCACAAGTTTATCAGTTCCAACCCCACTGCTACTGAGAACGAGGAGATGCAATGTCATGTTGAGACCAGCTTGGGATGGAAGGTGAACGTGAAGCTCACAAATCTTTTCCTGTCACAACGGCGACCCCGCCAGCATGTGATATGGCATCAATTACTGGAGCTCAATCTTGTATCCCAGTTGCAAAGCCAACACAATCCCTCTCGTCGAAGCTTTCTAGGATGCTAATTAAAAAGTTTTTAGATATTGCTAAACCTCTTCCTTACCAGCACTCAAACTCAAGGGACGTTCCCTCACATCACAGTGACGTTGAGAAACAGAGTACTATCAAAGTTGAGGAGGAAAAGAGTATTTGGGATTTACTGGACTTCACTTTCAACCTGATGACCTCGACTTTGGTCGTGCCAGCAACAGGTTTGAGACCAATGATGAAATTCAGGACTCTTCTTTTAATCGTGAATTTGCAGAAAGAATTACTTTCATTTAACGACGTTTTTGCCTTAGAGATAAATATGAGGCGGCAACGAAGATTCCTGGTCGTACGCTTTTCTAGTGATCACTCTACCTAAGACCTTTCAGATGTGGGACTAGTCTCATCTGTGAATGACCAGCAACCGCAAATCACAGCCACACTTTTACATCAGCACTTGAGAACGCTATTGCAGGGGCGGTGGAGCAAGTTCTACATGTTAGATAAATGAAAGACAGGCTGCTCACGCTATACTCATGAGGTAAAAAGACTGGTATATCTCATTGCAGATTTTGTTTTCAGTAACATTGGATGTAATCTTTGAGAGCAATGTGGGAGAGTTAGAGCACAGTTGAAACGATGCGCAAGCGATTGTTGGCGATGTTGAGAAACACAGTAGGTGTATGCTCAGTTACGTGGAGAGGCAGAGCAGCTTATCACCTCGAGTGCAAAGCACCAAACCGTCTCTACGCATCGCAAACAGGTCCATTAGTTTCATGTGACTCATTGTTCTTCACAAACGCCATGTATATAATTGAGTTGGAGATGATTTAAAGAGACGATGAGTGACGATGAGCCTGTCTTTGGATCTATCAACATTTTCCCATCTCTTTTGACGTGTTCTGAGGATATTTTCCAAATGGTCAGAACCAGTTTATTAGAAGAAAGCTTTGAACCCTTCACTCACTCAAGATACAAACAAAGGCTACTAAAACTCGTGTGCTAGCTCTGCTGATTGTCAGAGCTGACGCCTGGGTTTTCATGTCTTGCAAAATAGCGCTTGAGGATGTGCATTGGTCGGTGTGGCTGATTTTCGGTGTGGCTGCCTATGCCTGGCATTTCCTGTTTACTGAGAGAGCATGCACAAGTAACTACCCAAATGCCAGTCCATGTGCACCACTCCCAACGCCTCCTCTCAACCTCCAAAGATGTGAGGTACTTAGGTTATAAATAGTTAAGTTTTCTCCGTTTTCAGAAGTGCGCAACTTGTTCTATTGTTTTACAAATTTTTACGTCACACATATAAGCTTGATACAATCAATAAAATCAAACCAACCCACTAAGTGAATATGCATTCCTGCTAGTAGATGGTCCAACTTCTCTGCAATCGCTGGGTATATATAGTGACGATTGAATCAGCTAATCCCATCCGTAAACAAGCCCACGCCCCTTCGAATAAACTGGCTTTAGGAATGTCTTTCCTCAGATATTCATAATTTTCTATGCACTCAATCAAATAGTCTGTATCAATGAACCAGCTCAGCTTGGGACACCTTGGTTAAGCCAGCTTCATGTTAAAAAGAGTATCAGCCCACATGTGTACCTTTTCTAAAGCTGCTCCTATACTGGCACATTTGTAAACGCATCAAAAGTGGGTGTGAGGTGCTCATCGCCAAGACTCAGGGTTCCAGCAAACAAGAAATGCCAGCCACACCAAAAATTTATTGAAGAGTATTTACTGAAGAGCTGCAGATCAGGGTTCAGATTTAGTAAACTGAAGGTCACGGAGGTCCTCTCGCAATTCTTGATGTTTTTGTGATTAGGTTCACACTGTTGGGGTTGGGGTTGATGGTCTGATGTGGTTTTGGACAAACGCAGAGAGTGTTTATCGAGTTTGAGATTATCTTGTGCTAATGTGCCTTTTTCATGTATCTGAAGGAGCTCGATTGTAAATTTTGTTCTCTTCGCTAGGTATACCAAAAGATGGAGGCGACGTCGTTGTTGAGGTCGTGGTGGGTTGGAGAAGCAACCAACTCTTCTCCTTTGGATGGTGGAACGAAGCCAGGTGACATTGAAAAGGTACAGTGCTATCATATTTACAAATCGTCCATGTGTGGAGAAATTAGGAATAACAATTTGATTTGATGGATATTGTAAGTAGTAGTTTGGAGATTGTATAAATAATTTTGGTCATTCTTAAATGCAATTATTAGATAAAAAATTATAAACTCTAAGCTTTTTTAAAACTTTTGATGGTATAGACTAGTGGAGTGTATAAACTAAGTAAGCCTAAGCCTCCAAGGAAAGTTGAAGTGGAGATTGTGTTCATCTATGGATTACAATTATATGAGCATAGCAATACATATTGGACAACTTGGATAGGTGGGAAAGGTTGCAAAGAGTTTGTTGGCCAATAGAACCATTGACACAAATACAAGTATTCTTACAAGAACATTTTATGAGCAACAATATTGTTTAAAGTTTACTTTAAATTCAAAGGAATTTCGATAAGATCCTTCTCCTATACCTATCTTGTTTCTTATGCAATACAATCAAAAACTCATCTTATAATCCATAAATTATTCTTTGAAATTCCAACTCATTCTTTATTTTAAAAAACTCTCTTTTAAATCTTTGTAAACTTCAGTCAATACTCTTGTTCTAGAAAACACTTGTATTAAACCAAAAAATATAAAATTCTAATTAATTAAAGTTGATGGAATAAATATATAAAAAATAAAGAGTGAATATAATACCTTTTTGTAGAAAAAAGAATGTACCTATTAATAAAAAAAATAGAATAGATGATATAACAAAACTTTAAATACATCAAATAAAAATTAAATTTACAAACAATTACACATTATTTAAAAAAAAATTATAATTGAATAAATTCTCTTGCATTTTTTTTTGAGTTGCTAGTAGGTACTTCTCATTCTTCTCATAGTTTATTGTCTTTTTGATGCTCTTCCTATATTCAATTCTCTCCTCAAAAAATCCACATATTTAAATACTATAATATTGATGTAACTACAAGGATAGAAGCCATTATACATTAAGATAATATATAATTCACCTACAGTATTTATTTATTTGACTTTTTTTCTTGTTATTTTATGATTTGTCCAACAATAGATTCAATACTTTATTCTAACAACTAAATGAGTGGAGAGAGAGTCCATGTATCAACTATCTATTAAATTAGAGTAAGAAAAGTTTTAAGTTATGGTCAATAATTTGTTTGGATAGAATGGTAGTTAAATGGATTTGGATTCTCTCAATCTATAGAGTACTTTAGAATAAGAGCCCCATGGAAATGAATATGCCTCATCGATATTAAGCATTACATTTTGTTTACTTTTGGATAACAAATAGAAATATTGTCTTCTTGAATCCAAGTACCCTTTGAAGACTAATGAGATCTTTGAAGATCTTTTTATTTTTTCTTTATTTTGGTTGGTTGTTTTTCCATTTTTTTGTTATCTACCTACTTATTCAATTGTAGATAGCAACAAGCACTAAAGAGTCTATTTTTTTATTTTATTTTTGTTATTTTTTTTGTTTTTTTGGTCATCCATTACTTTTTTTATTCACTTGTTCATAGGTATGAAGCTATTGCTGCCAGAGTGAGGGATGAACTTTGTCTACATAGCTCCTTGATCTAATAAGTTCCTTTGATCATGAGTTTTCTATTGAATTTTTTCTATGTTTCAGAGATTAATTTGTAGAGACAATAGAGACGGATTTTAATGAAAAGAAATAGTATTGTATATTTGCATATATTTGATAATATTTCTTAAATAAATAAATAAATAAATAAATAATCTTATTCAATTCAAAAAATTAAAAAAGTATTATGATTATGATTATTATTATAATTATAATCTGAAACTATAATTTTTTCAACATGCTTAGGTTATTTTAAGAAAATAAAAAAAGATTTTTTTTATTGAGTGCAAGTATCTTTAGTACTTCAAGTTCAAAAACCATAGCTTATGAATTGTTATTGTTGAAAGTATTAAAAATAGCTAGAACTTTTTATAATATTTACTATAATTTATAATAAATATTGTAACTATAGTATTTGGAATATAGTAGAAAAAAATTGTTTACTCAAAAATTAGAGGGTTTGGAATTAGAATAAACAAATTATAGCCGTTTGATATTAAGGTTTCTTTAAAAACACATTGAGGATACAAAGAATTGTACGATTTCTTTTGAAAATTAAAAGATGCAGCTACAAGGATGATTTTAAGACCTACATCTTTTATAAAAGAATTATTATATTTAGAGTTTGTATGAAGGAATTATAGAGAGTTGAAGATAGTAAATGTAATTCAAAGGCATAAAGTAAACCATTTTGTTGATAGTAATGGTTGGAGCCATATCTTGAGTTTTTGGATGAATTTTTGGCTCAAATTTTTCAAAAGTATGAGCTATTGTGTTAAAAAGCTATATACCACTTTTAGTAGCATTTGAGCTTTTAATTTGTGAGATATGAAGAAATTTTCATGCAAGTGTATATAAACAAGGATTTGAAGCTATTGCTAGGATTTTGGCGATATCTCAAGATCTGTAACAAATTTATAGTTGAAATTTGTTGTAGTAGTTGTTTGAAGTATATAAGTATTTTTTGTAAATTTTGAGGCTATTTGTATGGTTCGATTGAGAGATATGAGCCATTGAAATTCGGAAAAAATTCACTTTAAGAATATATAAAGGTTTTAAATATTTTTATCATATTTTGGATGTTCTTTGGTACTTAGGGCTTATGTATTGATGTAATTGCCCTTAAAGGGATAATATTATATATGAACTTGGTACTTTTATATCTTGAGACTTGATTGAGTAATTAGTGGCAACCAAAAGCCCAACGCTTTCTTGAGGCAAAGTCTCTCTACCTCAAGAATGGTTGTTTATTGAAAAAATTTCAAGATGGCAAACTTGAAATTTGATGGCCATGTCTAGAGAAAATGTGTTTTATTTCTAAGAAGGGATATTTTAAATAAATTTTGCTAAAAGGTTTTTTTTATAAAATTTAAATATACAATATTTGCACTTTTAGTACCTCGGAGTTTGATCAACTATGGAGATGTGTGTGCCAATAGTTATTACCTTTCAACTACCATTCTATATAGGCATGAGATTTTGGTTCTTATAAAGAATCATAAAATTATTGAAAAAATCTTTCTTGTGATAAATACTTTATATCAGATTGCAATTTGTCCTTTCATTATATTTAATTTTGTATCGTCTATCACATAGATTTACGTTTCTCTCTGGCATGGAAAATTGAGACATCCATGATCTACATTATTTTGGAATATAATTCTATGTATATTTGGACATAATTTAAGACCTAGTGATGCAAATTCTATCAAATTATGTCATGCATATGTGCAAGGCAAGATGATTGCTTGGCCTTCAATTTGAAAACTCCCATGAATGTTACTACCAATGCTTGAAAGATTGAATAGTAATATTTGTGGTCCCATTAATCCAATATTTGGATCATTTTGTTATTTTTTATTTTTTGTTAATGCATTCGATAAAGAATCACATGTTTCATTTTTATCAACTTGAAACATGGTATTTGCCAATCTTATATCTATGCTTATTTATTTTTGGGCATATTTTCTTAAGTATCCTATCAAAATATTATGTATAGATAATATAAAAGAATTTGCATCAAAGTTTTTTGAAGACTATTATACTATAATATGGATTGAATTGACATATTATGTTCCATATGAGTATGCTCAAAATGGACCTATAGAATCATTTACAACTCATTACTTGTCCACTCCTTCTTCAAGCAAATTTACCTGTATCTATATAG